GGGGGGCAATTGGCTATTTGGAAAGGGTTGTGTCGTCTTTATATACTTTACTCGTTACTGCTACCTGTAGATATATTTATGTTTACAGCAGTGATGATATACAACTTGTTTGGGGGTCTTTTTTTTCAGGTTCTAAATTGGAAACTTTCTTTGAGAGCTGTGGCATCGCTGACTTAATAACAACCTGTTATGGGGGCAGAAACAGGAGAGTGGCTGAAGCCTTTGCTAAAACTGGGAAGGTAAGATGCTGCGAATTCTCACAGCATTGCATTGAACTTTTTTTTTTTCCAATTCATAATTGTTGTTGCTGTAGTTGTTCTGAGTTCACCCTCTCCTGGCTTTTAACACTTTTAGTACCATAGGCGACTTTTGTCTCCAGTGGGTGGTTGGCAGGTGCTCTGGTGTGGTTTGCTTCTTCTTTCCTATCAAACTCTCTTTTAACACCTTTAATCTTCGGGCGCTCGTATGACCTTATGCAGTTGCGAGCGCCGTAAAACCTCTACTAAAACTGTCACCAGGCCACAGTATGCGCTCATTACTGCTGGCAACTTTAGTCACCAACTCCACCAGGCACGGTTAACATACAGTGCAGCCTTTCTATAGCAACCTTTGATATAACGACATACTCTGTGTAGCGACATGGTGCCTAGGCCCCGATTTGTTCATGACATGTGTATATCATTAGTAATATTTTTAGTTGCCTTTCTATAACAACAACTCTCTACAGCGACATTTTGTCTGGTCCCGACAATGTCGTTATACAGAGGCTGCACTGTATTTAAACAATGAACGGAGCCACTGCACTGAAGTAAATACCAAAGGAAATCACTCTTTTATGATAGTTGAATGGTTGATGAAACTCTTTGAATTTTTATAGCATGTTTCTTCGGCTGTGAAAGTTTGTGGGGTTTTTTGGGGTTTTTTCTAAAAATTCTACTTTAGCTTCTGCGTTCTAAACTGATACGGTACTTGAGGGTTTTTTCACTAGATGAGCCTTCAGTTCTGTAAGTGTTATCCTTTGCCTGGTGGCAGACAGGCATAAAAATGTAGGTACAGTCTTTTAAAGTCTTATGGCAGACTGGCATAAAATGTAGGTAGGTAGTCTCTTAAAGTCTTATGGCAGACAGGCATAAAAATGTAGGTACAATCTTTTGAAGTCTAAGGCAGACAGACATAAAAATGTAGGTACAGTCCATTAGACAACCCCGTCATGTTGAAAGGATAGAGATTGGGGAAAAGGAGGAGGAAGAAAGGTATTGAGCACACACAGAACCAAAGGCTGATAGGTAGCTAGCTATGTGTTTCTTTCAGAATTCAAGGTCATTAACCCACATCATATAAAGCAAACATGGTTTACTGGAGAGACTTTGGTGAAACAGCATAGATTATAGAACACTGTAACAACATTTCAAAGGCTTGCAGTGTCTGGCAAAATCTCATGTATATTCATTTGTATATTTAGTCCATAGCCATATTGGTCTCTTGGCCACAGCGGAAGCTACAAGACATCTTAAACTTAATTTCTTCTGTTTCCAATAAGAAGTATTCTCCTCTTCAGATGCATTTATCATTGTTATACATTGACGGATAAAATATTGTAATATTCTTCTTCTTCTAATTATTTTTATTGTTATTATTATTATTTTCATTTTCATTATTGTTGATTATTCAGACCATAGCTGAGCTGGAACAGGAAATGTTGAATGGACAGAAGCTTCAAGGTCCGCCCACGGCCTATGAGGTGAACTACATGCTCAAAGCCAAGACTATGGAGGAAAGGTGGGCAGTGACATTATTGTATTTTTCCTCACCGGTGCTACATGTTTTTCCTCTATTGTTTCTGTCTGTCCGTCTTATATTTTTTTAGTGGGTGGTTGGCGGGTGCTCTGGTGTGGTTTTCTTCTTCTTTCCTATCAAACATCTATCGTCCTTATCTCCCCTCCTTCTTTTTTATGTTTGTTACTCTCTTGTAAAACCTCTTATCTTCTGGCGCTCATATAACCTTATGCAGTTGCGAGCGCCATAAAACCCCTACTAAAACTTAAAAACTTATTTTTTAATAACCTTTACCGTACAACGGTATTTACTACGCTGTACGTACGTCGTGTACCAATTTTGGAACAGCAGTTATCGCAACTCGTAATCAAGAGCATTCCCAACTTTTTCTAAGATAGCGGCCATTAAATTAAAGAGAAAGTGGAGAGCTGTTTCAAGAAGGAAGAGTGAGTAAACTGGAAATGTTACTTAGATTACGTGAATTATGTTGGAGTTTGGCTTCATGCTCAGCACACAACTCTATAGTACACGCTCAGAAGCCTCCCCAGCATTGGATAGCAGGACCCTCAGATAGCAACACATGTGCATGCTAAAAATAGAAGTCGCATCGCCGTGACCCAGCGTGCTCGGTTTGTATCTGTGTTGGCCTAGGGTCTGCAGTTTTTTCCAGTGCGTGCCATTATTGGTACACAATGTAGGAATAGGGTGTAGGGAAAAAAATGATTATCAATTTCAAAACTTGAGATCAAAACTTCTAATGGCCATTGTTTCAATGTCGGAAATTGAGTAAGCCTACTTGAGGCATTCTTAGCTGCTCATAGACGTGAAGCTAGCCATAACAGAATGAAATGAAATTTAAAACACCCTATAACGTTTTTGGTACCCAGCGTACGGTAAAGGTTAAGTAGGAATCGTGCTTGACCTTTTTCCTCTGGTGTTTCTGTTTGTCCTTTTTTTTTTCCTTTGACTCATGCTTGACACTTTTTCCTCTGTTGTTTCTGTCTGTCCGTCTTAATTTTTTTTCCTGAGGCATCGTACTAGTTGTCCCTCTGTTGTTTCTGTCTGATTGTATGTCTGTCTGTCTATCTTATATTTTTCCCTGGACTGAATGGCTGTTATTGTGTCAGAGCGCTTTTCTTTTCTCATTGAGTGGTTGGTGTGGGGGTCTCATGTAGTTTCTTCCTTTTCTATAAGATATCTATCGTCCTTATCTCTCCTCCTTCTTTTACTGATATGTTTCATTCCAGTTACACCTCTAAATCTCCTGCACTTATAAGACCTGATTGTGTTCCAAGTACCATTCAACTCTTACTTTTTTTTTAAAAAGGTCATATCACGTGACTTTCTAATAAGTTTCTAGTAACAATTTTAATCTTCTGGGCTGATATGACCTATTTGTTTTAAAAGTGCCATAATACTTATACTAAAAATGAAAATAAATAAAACCACAAACGAACTCAATTTTTTTTCTCCTCAGGTTTCCTCTATTCACAGCCGTCCACAGAATATGCACAGGAGACTTGCCGGTCAAGAACTTGATGGACTGTCTCAAAAATCACCCAGAACATATGTGAATTGTGAAACAATAGAGTAGGGGGAGAGAGAGAGAGAGGACTGTTGGAAATATTTAGGAGTTGAATTTTAAATATATCTGCTTCATCAGGAGGAGACCTGTTCCCTATCCCACCCCCTCCTAACTAAAGCTTATCGTAAAACGGACACTTCGTACACTCCATACCTCCTTGTTCCTTTTATCTATACCTTTTATGGGTGGTTGTCAGGTGTTCTGGTATTGTTTGTCCTTTAAAAAAAAAAAATGAAACGTCAATCTCCCTTATCCTCCTCCTTGTCCTTGTATGTTACTTTTTAGTAACACGTCTTATCTCAGGCACTCATATGACCTAATTGTGTTGCAAGAGCCGTAAAGTTCTTTCTAAAACTAAAATCTAAAACTAAAAATACTAAAACTCACAACCTTTGAACCGATTTCTTTTCCCATCCCTTTCCTCCTGCTGGGTGGGTAATTTGGAATTCAGCTTACATAAAATGCCCCCTTGTCTCAAATTTTTTTTCAGCAAGCCATCGGCTGTAGCCCGGATGTCCGTGTGCTACAATCCATGACGACCAGACGGATGATGTGTTGTGGGATACAAACAGCCTATGAGAGGCGCGGACTGAAGAGTTCCACCGGTGCCAAGCGCAATAGATCCTTCTATGCTTATTATTACCATCATAGGTCGCTGACTTTAACATTATTATGCATTCAACCTTTGTACAGAAATTTTGGCAGTGTACAAAGATGTGCCAATGAGATCTAGATTTTCAATATAACATGATGATGTCAGTACATTTTGATGTGTCTAAAAGAATTATGTTATAATATGACAATGGTTTCGGATTAACTATATGTAGGCTGCATGGGAATGGTAGAGGTGCATTGGTTACAGGGTATACCCTCATATATATTCATGTGATACTCTTTGTTTCCATCCTGTTTCCTGTGCTGTCAACACTGAATCAGATCTCATTTGGTCTTCGAGTCCCTTTGTTTGTGATGGACTGTGGTATGAAAAAAACTGACATTTATGCAGTATGGGGCTATGATGTTATGATTTACAAAGAAGATCCCAGCCTTTGCTGAGCAGTCTGTTGTGTAAACTCTTCATCTTCCAAAGTTTATCTGTAGAAACATGTTTATGAAATAACTCTCAACCAAATATCATTATTAGCCTTTTTAAAAATTGCCTGATTACATCCATCTTGATTGATTATGATGATTTATGAAAAGTATGTATAATAGGGCACTTTTGTTTCATTTTGTCAGGTTCTCGGATCAGATTCTGTGGGGAAATTTTTCTTTTCATTTTCAACAACAAATATCTGAGTAGATCCCCTACAGAACTTGTGATTGTTCCAAACAAGACATTTTTTAAAATGTGTTTAGTTATGTCTGTAGCTTACATCTGTAGTTAGCACACTGTCAGTACCACTGAGCAAGAAGGTTCTTTCTAAGCATTGCCACGGCATTTGAAGATGTGTAGACTGGAAAGGGCTGTCATGAACAGTCTGCTTATTTTGGCTCTCATATGACCTTATGCATTTGCGAGCACCATAAAACCTCTACTAAAACTAAAACTAACTAGTCTGGTTCTTGAGTCAGTGTTTATTTTGTTCAGGAAAAGTCACTGTGTATTTTCTGTTGACATCATAATAATATAACACTGCTATACAGTCTTACTTCGTTTTTCTTTTCTTCTTATCATCAAGAACATTATCATAATAATATGTGCCTTGCGGTGGGAAACAATACATTTTTGTGGAAAGGAGTGATGACATTTCTAGACGTTAAGCGAAATTTGTTCCCCCTGTTTTGGTTTTGAACATCCTTCTTTAGTTGGTCTTCAAATTGAAGGAGTTGGTTGTGAGCTGACTTCTATTTTGAAACTTGAAGTGAAATAATGTTGTTACCTACACACTCTTTATTCTCAGGCAGACTTTGAATTTCTATCTCTACCGGTTCTCTGTCACTTAACAGCCCAGATTATAATCTTTTTTTATTAGAACTTACCTTTAATTAAGGGGAACTGGGTTATTTTGATATTTTATTGATATAAGGGCCAACTCTTGATACAGGTTGCTCTGCGTGAGATTTGCAATGCATCTACATTTTCAGTGTTTCAGACATTCCTCAAAATTATACTGTGGGGTTTTTTTTCTTTTCATAAGATAATGAGAATGTTTTCTGATCTTCAAAGCTCAAGAATGTCATTGTGGTTTTAAGGAAAGCAAGCCAAGACAATCATCAAATAAATGTTGAACCAGAAGCTTTGTCTTTGTTTCTTTGAAGGTGAAGAAAAGACACTTTTCAGTATTCAGAATCTTATGAAATTTTGAAATTATTTTCATTTGCTGTTTAATATTGTACACAGCTGATTTTTTTTCATTTTGGATTATCACTTTTCTGCTCAAATTTGTATTTCATACTTTTTTAATTCCTTGTTTATGTGTTTATCTAGTTTTGGCTGTATTTATTGATCGAAGGACTTTGTGTTTGCAATGTTTTGTTTACAGGAATCATTTTTGTGTGCTATCTGTCAACGGTGAATGTCTGTTCTGTGACCTGTAACAGAGTGCCAACTGATGTCTCTGTAGCCGTGATCCATCATTCTTGCGCTTGAGGGGCCACCAAAGTTTGAGAAAGCGTTTCCTCTAACAATGGCCAGGGAGATTCTCTCAAATATAGCCAGTTCATTTTCCTGGGGTTATCAGTGGCGTTTACTATCCCAATGGCCAACTTTCTGAAGAAACTGGGGACAACAGCACCTAGCGTTTTGAGAATGCTACAACCTCAAACCCCCACCCTTAAAAAGAGGGGGGGAGAGACTAAAATAACACGAAAATTAGCTTGTCATCTTTACCCCCCCCCCCCCCCCCTTTTTTTTTCCTTCTTTTTTTAAGGGGGTTAGGAGGGGATTGGGTCGAGGTTGTAGTATTCTTTATTCTCTAACAATCCTATGAGAAACATTAAAAAATGAGCGTGTTGTGTTTTCCGAATGGTCTGAGGTTTTTTTTACTTTTGTTTAATTTACTTCTGACTTTCTCCTGTTTTGTTTTTTGTTTTGTATTGTACATGTATCCTGTGTGCATCCCTGCTTGTCTCTGACATTTTACAAGATACAATTTGAATCTGTCCAATACAACCACCTATTTTCCAAAGTGATTGTCTTACTTAGACATTGTCAGTATAATGTAGGAAAAAAAAATCTAATGGGGAAGTGTTTGCACAGGTGATTATCTTGGACAGGTGGTTATTAGAGCAGGATCAACTGTAACTCTATCCATTTCCTGGATTATATTCTTATCCTAAAATTTGGAATCAGTTCCTTTACATTTATTTAATCCTTTATTCTTTTGTGGATTTATGTTTGTTTCAGAGCTGATTGCTAGTCTTATCGAGTTGTGTCTCTTCTTGTCCCCAAGTTTTTTCTTTAACCATTTCGTTGCCGTGGGGTATGTGTTCCTACCGTCAGCTCTGATTTTCAACTGAGCTTGTTTCCCAGGACTGCAGCCTAATATCTCAGTGTTAATGGACGTGCGATCTGGATCTAGCGCACTCGTGACATATTTCAGACAACGAATCTTCGGTTGTGGCTCTTTTCTCACTTTTCTTATTTCTCTTCTCCTCCCATCTTTCTCATAATTTCGAATAACCTGCAAATCTAAGTTAAAAAGTGAATTTATTTGCCTTTTTTAAGTCTTTTCGATTCTTACGTTTTACGAGAGCTCACAGCCGTTCGCAAGCCTTGATCTGTGTTTACCGATCGCTTGCAAGCCTGACAGCAAAGTAATATTGGCAAATTTGGTTTGCGTGTCTTTTATTCCCGAATACGAATCTACTCAGTGCTTGTGGCTTAAACTCCGTACAGAAGAATTAGAGCCAGGTTATTAGCATGACGTACATGTAACATATAGGCAGCCAGGAGCGGCAAATTTTGTCAACCGCTGTGATGTACATGGTATGGCGCTGGGCTAAAAATTTGCATTTTCATGACATACCAGGTACCACATAAGGCAACGAAGGGGTAAAGGAATATTCACCTTTGTTTTTCTAGCTCCAAATTACTGTCATTATTATATGCAGGTACCTGACAGAATGAAAAGATTGGTGCATCGTTCCCTTTTGATTTACGTGGATTAGGGAGTTGTTATTAACATTGTCAATGCTTTTTTTGTTTTGTTAAAGTCATTGAATTTGGTAAGTACTTATTGTGTGCTAGAGTATACCATATGTGAGGCAGCGTAGTGGAATCAGGCTCTCGTCAAAATAATCAAAATGCCTTTTTTCGCAGGTTTGTGAATTTTTATCAAATTTTTGTTTTTCGGCTCAACACCTTTCATACCCATTAAAGAACTAATTTCTGTTGTGGATTTTTCTGAAAAACGTTGATTAAACGCACAAAAATTGTAAATTTTCGGTTACCACGGACTCTTAAGCTAAGCAAATGACTAATCTTTGGCAGCCATTTTCTCACTAATTTTACCTCTGAAAACAGGTGACCCCCACCTACTTCTTTCGCAAATATCTCAACTTGTATTCAAGATAAATGGATATTTTTTTTATCCAAATAAAGACAAGTGAACAAGCTTTAAAGATGATTCCAATAACTCTACATGCCCAAAAATTGATGAGAGCCTGATTCCACCACGCTGCCTCACATATATATTTTTTATGTATGGTACAAGTGTGCCTATATATTAATATCTTTGTTTGTGCAGCGGGGTATATTTTTTGGTGTTTGTTTGTGAAATGTATCTTGTGGGTGGAAGAGTCAATGGTTGTGTATGTGTACATGCAAGTGTGTGTAGATCTATGTGTGTAAGTACAGAGAAGAAAGAGCAGTGCTTAGATGTGATAGTGTGTACAACTTTGAGGCATTTTGTTATATAGATCTTTACTTTTTTTTAAATTTATTGAATGTATGTTGAATGATAACAACTCGTAAAGCTTTTTCATTTGGCTGACAATTTTTTTTCCTCCCAAAATAGAAGCAGCTTCCTTGTCTCAAATAAAACCAGATCTTCCCCTATTTTATTGTATATTATGGAAATATACCCTTGGTAGCTTTTTGCTAAAATGCTTTTTTAAAGAATTTTTTTCTCATATGTTTATATTGACAGTCCTGCTTTATAGACACGATCTCTACAGGTCTTGAAATCCAATAAATTTGTCTCTTACCAAGTTTAAATGCCACCATAGCGCTGGGCCAGTGGTTAGGGCGGAGGGGAGGAGGAGGAGGTGGTTGTATTCTCTCTTAAATTTCTGTGTCACAATAATCAGATGCGATACTCAACTATGGTGCAAGCTGCTCAGGTTCTAGCTGGTTCATGAATGTTGTCGGTTCCGAGAAATTTTATGACTCCATCATATTTCATCCTGCTAGAGATGGTTTTTACAATTTGAAGGTTCTGGTGCTGAAAGAGGAGTAAAAATCAGGATTTAAAAATTTAAAACAATCATGGGAAAAGCATCCTCAGAATTTTGGCAAATTGGGTGAGGGGTGTCTACTTCTAACTCTAAGAGTGTACAACTCTATACTATAAGAGTGTACACAATTAAATGAAAGTCATCACTTTATAGCGAGTGCATTGAATAATTATGCAGCTATTGTTGAATCTGCATTGCTTATTCACTATTGAGTTACTGGAAATCTCGACTATAGTCACTTTGTTGAGATATTTGTGCTTACAGTTTATACACATGCCTTACCCTTCTGATTCTTTATCACTCTTCCGAGTTTGACTTAGCTGATGTTAAGACAACTGGCATATAGTACTAACATTTGGGGATAACTGACACTTACTTTACTTTACTTTACTTTTCCGATCCAGCGGCCATTTGGGTTCTAGCCCTTCGGTCTGTCGATATGGCAAAGAATTGACAGGTTTTAATCAGCTGTGCTTTGTCGCTGTATAGAGTGTTTCCGATGTCTGGGGAGGCAGGTAGGTAGGTGCTACGCAGGTCACAAAGTGCTGGGCAGTTTAAGAGGTGGTGTGGTACTGTTTCATCCTGGCAGTCGCACAACGGGCAGTCGGGTGGGGTATCCTTGAGGATCCTATTAAGGTAGGAATTTAGTGGTATGTGTTGTGTTCGCAGGCGAAATATCGTGACTTGTTCTCTTCTATTCAGGGAATTTATTGCATCTTTAGAGTTGGGGGCTGTCATGTGTGCAAATACAGTTCTTCCAGTTTTGCCCGATAACTGACACCATTTTCCCCCTCAGACACCCCCTCCCCGCTCTCTTTATTTTTCGGGTTACCTCAGCCCAAACACCCCCACCCCCACCCCCCTCATTATTTTGAAATATCCTCAGTATGTGACTCTCTGACAATATTTGCCACATGCTACTTATTTCTGCATGGTTATGATGCAGTCTATGAACCTATCTATTTTATGTTCCTGGAGAACAGTGGCGTCAGTGGCTTTTGTGGTTTGGCTCTCAGACTCGCAACCGTAAGGTCGTAGGTTCGAATCCTGTCAGGGACCCAACGGTGTGTCCTTGGGAAAGGCACTTAACACGAATTTTCCTCACTTCACCCAGGTGGGAATGGGTACCTGGCTATAGACAGTGAAAGATCTGTCAGTTTGTTGGTGTCTGAGCGCTTCATCAGCTGCTTGCACTGTATGCTTCTTGGGAAGCTGAGAATGCTTCTGGGTGTTCTATGGTCTGCCGGGGTAATAATATAGTGTAAAGTGCATAGAGCTTACTGTAGAGCGGGATTGTGCGCTGTACAAATGCTATTTATTATTATTTTCTTTAACAGGTGGTCGTCTTGAACAGTGTAATGATTTTTTTTTTTAAAACATTTACAGTGGGAAGTGGTCGTCTGTACAGTCTGTACAAGTGATTGTCTTGGAAAGATGGCATTCAGAGCAGATTTGACTATAAATTATGATATAGTCAAAATAATTAATTGTGTGTTACTGTACCGCACTGAATATTGTGTTTGTTGAGCTGCAACCAAAAAATATTTACTCAGGAATATCAGGTAGCTGTGACGTGCTGTGATGTAAGTTGTTTTTGTATTAGAGTTTACACATTATATCCTGTGTGGCGCATCATACTAATTTAGAGTGCACTAAGTCAACAAATTAGGCAATAATATATCGTAGATTTGTTTCATGTAAAAGTGATTCTTAATATTGAACCGGTGTCTGTGGTGTAGCGGTTAACTTAATCCCTTTGCTGTCGCATGCAGAAGACCGAGTTCGGTTTGCGAGTGGGAAGAATTTTTATTGAGTGTCTCGGTCTTTTTGCTTGGATGT